GTATACGCGGAAAGCATAGGTGTATCCCGATCCACAGCACAACTTAAAAATTTTAATTCCATATTTGTGGCGCTTTTGTTTTAAATATTGCCTAAATACAATGCGGCCACGAAATGGAATCAAGGACTCGTCAATACATATATCCTCGGTCGGATTATAATATTTTTTGTAATTGGTCTCCAAAATATCTATAATTGGTTGTATTTTATATAAACGATTGGAACCATTATCGTTTTTGTTGTCTGCAAAATGTAGCATTCTTAGTAATAATTCAAATCGGTTTCTTGACATGACCGCTCTTGGGAACGTTTGCAAATAGGCAGGATCATTAGACCAATAATGGTGTATGGCCGGCAATTTTACTAATCCCATCCATAGGACGAGTCCAAGTAATCTCTTTATTTCAGACTTACTTGTTTCTGTCCACTTTGCCAAGCGCTGCGTGTATCCAGCTTCTATTTTTTGTGCTGCATATATGTTGGTTTGTTCGGCAATTTCCTCCATGAGTTCATCCGGCACAAATAATTGATAGCTGGTTTGTACGGCTATGTCTGATCCTATAAGCTCCCTTATAAACCCCGAAGGATGTGTAAATGGCACAATCTTTGGCTGATTGCCCCTCGGGTCATGCCATTCTTCAACAATCTCCTCCTCCTCTTCGTCAGAGGATAAAAATACATCCAGTCTAAGCCGTTTTCTAGCAAAAATAATTTCACTGCTGCTGTTGCTTTCACACTCTCGGACTGACATTTTGACGCTGAGGGCTAAAGAAAATTTTTGTCTGCACGGAGCTAAGAACTGTAATGAATTGATTTGTCGCAAAGGCAACACCAGCCACAAATCCATTTCAAAAAAATCTTATCTGAGCGGGCCAAGCGGTAAAGAACGCAAAACAGACTTGGCGCGTAACGTATTGAACCAATACCTATAGGTATCACGATTCAAACGTAAACTATCTTTTATTGCGATCGGAAACACCGGCCTTACAATACCAGCGCGTAAAAGCGGTGCGCGTGGCCTGAACGGGATTGCTTTAGAAAAACGCGTGACGCTCAACGTGTTAAGGTCGTAAATGCAAGGTTTTGTGACGCGCCCCATTCGAACCTGGAGTCCCTTTTTAGAAGTGTGGTTAATGGTTTGGAGATTTTCGAAAATTTATCTATAAATCGTCGGTAATAGCCCGCGAGACCGAGGAACTCGCGGACGTTCTTCGCGGTTTTAGGACATGGGAATTCTGCTACTGCCCGGGTTTTATCCGGGGATGGTATTACACCGTCCTTGGTTATTACGTGTCCGAGGTAGGCCACTTCCTTATGTAGGAATCCGCATTTCGCGGGTTGTAATTTTAAGTTCGCGGTCCGTAGTCATTCTGCTAGTTTCTGAAATTTCGCCCGGTGTTCAGAGAGGCTTCAGGAGTAAGTTACAATGTTGTCGAGATAAACGAAGAGCTCGGAGCCCTGCAGACCCGAAAGGATCGAGTCCTTTAGCCGTTGTAAGGTGGCCGGTGCATTTCGAAGCCCAAACGGCATTCGATTGAACTGGTAGTGAGTGACCATAAGGCGTCGAGAACGCGGTTTTTGCTGCGTCGGCTGGGTTCATGGCGATTTGGTGGAACCCGCTAGCCAAGTCGAACACGCTAAAGTACTTTGCACTCCCGAGCTGGTCTAGAATTTCGAGGATGCTCGGGAGTGGATACGCGTCCGCGGTTGATTTTTCATTCAAAGCACGAAAATCAATCACCATGCGCCAGCGTTTGCTACCGTCCGCGGCGGCCTTTTTGGGCACTATCCAGAGGGGCGAATTGTACGGTGATTTTGACGGTAATACAATTTTATTTTCTAATAATTCCTTCATTTGTTTATTGATTTCGTCTTTATGAATGGGCAGGTACCTGTATTGTTTTACGTGGACGGGGATATCGTCCGACGTAGGAATGGAATGCGTTACGGCTGTAGTGCAGCCCAAAAATTCTCCCGGCACGTGAAAAAGGTCTGGGTATTCTGCAATTAATTCATGTACATGTTCTTTTTCTTCTATGTTTAGGTGCTCGGTCGATATTTCTTCGATGATTTTCTTCCGTTTTTCCGAAACAGATTCGGGAGAACACGCGCCGTAGTCTGGTTATATTTAGAGATTGACGCTGTTCGTTGGACTTTAGTCCGTGGGCGAGATTAGAATTCTTTAGGGGATTCGTTTGCGAATATTGTTCGATTTCTTCTATCTTAATAGAAGGTGTGACCAGAGAAATGTCGCTTTCGTTGACGTTAACGCATGGTACAAACGCGTATCCGTCGGTCGCAGAGACCGCGCAGTCGTAAATTATCACACCCGGCGCGATTTCCGTACGGGGAATATAACCTTGATCCGAGCCGGTAGTCCTAACGCGAATGCACGTGGTTGTGCGAGCTCCGATCAGGCATTGAGCAGAATTGACGAACGGGTATTCCACACCGTTCCAGGCGATGCAATTTTTTGAATAGCAAATGTCTAGTCCTTCTCTTAAGAAGGTTGAACCGATAATACCTTTGGTTGGAATTGAGAATGTGTCTGGGACGACATGAAATTTGGCAGCAGTCCCGAATATAGTAATTGGAGTAGACCCGATGGTCTCTACATGTCCTTCGGTGATGCCGGTAATTTTTAGTTTCTCCGCGGTATCGATGATTGCGTCTGCGTTCAGCGCGATTAATTTAATTATATTTAATTCAGCGCCCGTATCAATCATAAATACGGCTTTCGTGCGGAGCTCCGGCGCGAGGGTCGCGATATACGGGACCTCGCTATTCTCGTTGAGGTTTATTCTGTGGACGCCGAGTCGTGCTCGTCCTCCATTGACGCGATCGCGCGGACTTTCGGTGAGGGTGATGCCTCCCGTCGGCTGGGATTGGACGGGAGGGGTGACCCGTTTCCCTGATCGCGCATATTATTGTTATATTCTCTCTTCCTGCATTCGTGTATATCGTGGCCTATATTCTTGCAATAGTTGCAGTGCTTATCGTTATTTCTACCGGTAGTGTTGAACGGTTGTCGAGACGGCGAAGTTTGCTGACACGTGACGCGACGGCAGGAAGTTGTTATCGCTGCGACGGTTGGAGAATGGAATTTCTCGGCGACGAGGTGCGCTATCTTCCCTAGGTGTAACCTGATCCGGTAGATATCGGGAGTCTCGGCCGTATCGGTCGGCCAGGAAGTTGTTATCTCCCCTTGGTGTAATCTGATCCGGCAGATATCGAGAGCCCTGATTGCGTCGGTCGGCACGGAAATAATTATCGTCGCGGCGACTTACTGGCGCGACTTCTCGGCGATACGCGTCGTTATCTCCCCTCGGTGTAATCTGACCCGGCGCATACCGTGGTCGCTCCGAGAGAGCCGCGCGTGGCTGGGAAGGTTCACGCGTGGGAAATGTAAATTGCATAGAATCTGCGAACCGTACTTTAGCGTCTTGGTGTCCGTACCGAGCCTTGTCTAGTTCCAAACGTTTGTAAGCGGTTTTTGTTAGAAATGACTGTGTGCGTCAGTGTTTTCACGTTGCCGTGTTTAGATATTTCCCGGTGTATGGCTGAAGTGTAGACAAGGGAACGGGAAACAGTGCCTTGATGCGCTTATGCTGGCTGACTTCCTGGGCCTGACCCTGCAGTCCCTACTTTATACCCCCGCCTGGGTCCCTTCGCAGCCGGGGAAGAAACGCCTCCTACCCCCGCGCGTCTATCGCTTACGACGATGGTATCGTTGTATTCCAACAGTTTTCGCTTCTGAGAAAATTGCTTTTAAGGATTCCTGTCTGTAAGATTTCACTTCCGTCCGGATTGCTGGGATTAAACCTTCAATAAAACTACTCTTTATTAATTCGTTAATTCCTGGGATATCTGAGACGTCTTCAACGGCGTCAAGAATCGCGGCTTTTAGATCTTTGATTCTACTGATGTAATCAATAATGTGTTCCGAACTGCCCATAAATATATTTGCCATCTGACCACGGTAGTGATCGATCGATTTACGCGCACCGAAGGTATCTTTTAATTCGTCGCAGAGATCATGCACGGAATTGTAATATTCGTCCTCGACGGTGGTTAACGCACGACCACGGAGTCGCGTGATGATTAATTGCACGAAAGATCTTTCTTGTCGCGCAGGAATCATGTCTCGCGCTCGGACGCATGCGCGAGTAAATTGTAGTATCGGAATATTTGTCCCGTCGAAGTATGGGATAGATTCAAGAGCAGTTTTTATCGATAACGACGGGCTTTCGTAGTCGCGGTCGTTATTCAGCGGTATAACCTGGGAAGTGCCGAATCGTCTGGGGTTTTACGGATTCCTTTTCTAACCTTTCCTTTTCTGTTAGAAACTGTTCCTGTAGTTTATCTGCTTCGAAACGTCGACGACTCACTTCTTCGCGTTCGGCCTCTAGAGCCCGGCGTTCCGCGCGCAATTTACGCTCCATTTCGTGCACGGACTTTTGTAACATCGCGGTTTCCGAATCAATAGTCACTGTTGGAACGGCGTCTTTCTTACACGCGGCCATAGTTTCAAATTTCGAACGCGAGCTTGACATAAAATCCCACCGCTGCCACCAAATTTGTCACGTCCCACGCGAGGAAGGGCACAATGTGTCGACCCGCGATTAGAAGGACTAGACTTTGCCAAATTTGATCCACGCTTTGCCTGCGTCCGCGTCTGATCGGGTACTCGCGTACAATTTGAATAGGCGTGCAATATATGAAAGGACTCATCGTTCGGAGAGAATTGGCTTAGTTGGTACGAATGTTCGGTACAGTGGTTGCCGCTGTGACTGCACGGCGTTGATTGGCAGGAACTGGGCTGCTCGATTCGGGTAGATTGGCAGGAACTGGCTGTTCTGCTGCTTGGGTCGTCAGGAACTGGCTGCTCTGTTGCTTGGATCGTCAGGAACCGGCTGCTCGTTGCTTTTATTCACTGACTTTAGGTTTAATAAAGATTTGACTCGAGAATACTGATAATTCGAATACGTATATATTCTTTAAACTTCCTAAGTACAATAAACTAATTAAACTAACGCGGGTTAAAATTACTTTGATAGATCTAGAATGTGACTCGCTTGACTTAATGAAATTGGAATTGAACGGAACTCGGCGAAATAGTAACAATGAACTGGTAAGGAGAGAGACGAGCCGAGTTAGTAAAATACGTCTGGTAAAGTCAAGTGCTGGAACGCGAGTTAAGAGTCGAGGAGCGCTCTGAAGCTCCTTCGGCGACTGTGAATGCTGCGAGGAGTGGGGGTACGCTGGAGTGGGGCGCAGAGTGCTCCGCAGCGCACGCGGTAGATCGGTGAACATGGTAAAGGTGTGATGTAGTGTGTCGGTAACGTCGGTAACATTGCGGCTGCCGGTAACGTTGCAGCTGTCGGTAGCGTTGCGGCTGTCGGTAACGTTGCAGCTGTTGGTAACGATGCAGCTGTCGGTAATTATGTGACTGTTGGTAATGATGCGACTGTCGGTAATATATCGGTAGTGATGTGGCTGTCGGTAACATGTATAGTGTAGTTGAGTTAAGCAAGTGTGTATGGATTTAAGTGTGTGAATGGGTTATAGATATAATGTTACCTTATTCTACGCGATTATATAGTAACTTAGCCTACGCAATACGTCGGGAATCGACCGACGTATAGGAATCTCGGGGTGGGTACGCGATTGGGGACCGACGGCGCTATTCGGGTGTTTAAAACGGCGTCGTAATCGTCGTCTGAGGGTTCGTAATCTCTGCCAATATCGGCCGGGGCTGGCTCTCGGGTAAAGGTAATTTGGGAGGGCTTGGGCTTTTCTTGTTGCTTCAGTGGTGTTCCTTGTTCGATGCACTCCTGGCTGTCCCTGCCGGTGTTGACGTGTCCTTCTGGAGGTGGAGGCAGAGGCGTGTGGCTGAGTTCCAAGCCGCGGCTATCAGGCGGAAGCTCCAACCGAACGCGGCGTACAGCTCGACGCCATTCAGTACCATATTGATCGTTAATTTGATTGTGCGAAACAGGACGTATACTCCGAGAATGCCCGCGGATATTGATCCGAATTGTAGGAAACCGCTCCACAAGCGCTTACTGGTGGAAAGTGCGGTTTTCTCGAGCGTTTGCTCATCTAGGAGATTGCTAATTTGAACCGTGTCGCGAATGAATGGGCGGCCTGAGGCTCCTTGAGCCAAGGAATCGATAATGGAGGACCTTTCTATTGGGGACATGATGTGTTCCTTTAGCTGGTTTAAATCTTCCTGGGAATATATTCCCTCGTTCGCGAGGTTTGAAGGGCTCACGTACTTCCATGTGACTTGGGTAATAGGTTTTAGTGGTGGAATGCTGCGGATTATCTGGTACCAGGACCCTTGCAGCTTGAAGAGTGCAGGGATGAGTTCACTACAGTCCCTTTGGGTGCTGGTTTTAATTAAGACGTGAGTGCGTAGAGATAAGAAGTAGGATTGATTATTGTATGTTACGGGGAGATCGCTGAAGCAATCCTCCGTTATGCGGAGGCTGACAGATACTGGGATGCACTTCACGATGTGAATGGCTTCTCCGGCCTGAGTGGCAATATAGCCGGCCTCTTGTGTGATCGCGTAAGCCATTTCGGCTGGCGCAACTCGCGCGAGCGTTAGTGCGTTTCGAAGAACCTGTTGGTCGAGCCTGCAGCGTTGAGTCACAATATCTTGATAGAGTGATACTATCTGTGAGTTTAGGTGTTTCTCTACGTACACGAACTTTGCGTTAACGTAGGTAAAAATGTCTAAGTTGTTGGTGGGAGTGGGAGATTTTGATTTGAATTTTCCTTCCTTATTTGTATCCAAAATGAACAATTTCGGGTGTTCCGTACGGATAAGTGTATACCCGCAAATATTTGTTTTGGCCGTGCTAGTGAGTGCGAACGCTATATCTTGCGTAGCAACGGTGTACATGTCGGGGGAGGAACCTAGGTTAAATGTTCGGGTGGCCTTCGTAAAGCACATTGTATTGATTTACTCCGCACTGGTCCGAAGGAAGTCTTTGCCAGTACGTGTGGCCGTCCTCTGTATCTAAACAGAGCTCTTTGTTTAGGGGACACCTTTGGCCGGATGGAAGGAGGATTTCCTGAGTATTAATTTTGACAGGTGTTCTAAAAGTTTTCAATGTGATCTTGGCTATGGCTTGCACTACAACCTGAGACNGTATCTAAACAGAGCTCTTTGTTTAGGGGACACCTTTGGCCGGATGGAAGGAGGATTTCCTGAGTATTAACCCTTTGCGGTCGGATTAAATTTGGAGATGGGTATCGTACTGGTCGGAATTAATTTCCGTCGATAGAGCAGGGATACGTAATGCGCAAGTTTACGATGGATAAACAAGATTTAGTAATTCTTTTGTGAACTTTAGATATATATTTATTCAATACACTCATCTAGTGATGATCAAAATGTGGCTACATTGGCAGAGCTGCCCCCGCAATCGTAGCCGATAATGGCGGACGCAACACGTGTTACGATCGTTGGTATTGAATGAATGGATGGATTGTTCGCAGTTTCGAACCTGCCTGCATACACCGGTTGCGGTTCGGGAAATTGAAGGATAAAGAAAGACTATTGTGTTGGTTTATTAAAACAATGAAAGCAAAGGTAACCTTATTTATTTAAATGTTTAGATAATTAATGTTAAAATATTCTGGATCCCAATCGGGGTTGTAAGAATTTTCGTTTTTAAACAAGATTTCAATATTGTCGTTGTCCGCACGTTCTTTATCGGTTATCGGATCGTACACTTCCACCGACGATCGGGGGAATCCGGTATTGGATCTGGCTTAAGGGATTCTTCCGCCAATTCTCTCCCGATATCTCGAAGCCTCTGCTCGTATTTCACGCGGTACTCGCGTTCTAAAGCGCGGACTTGTCTGAGGTATCTGGTTTTTCGCCCCCCTCGACGTTTTTTATTAGTTAGTTTCTTCGAACCTTTCATCTAAGTTTTGGAAAGATAATTTTTTAAATTCATATTAGGTACATATATGTATATATTTTGATTCTTATTATTACTATTATTATTCTCTCAGTATTATTGGCACGAATAAGCGTCACTTGGACGCAGAATGAGTGCCTCGTACAAGCGTCACTTGGACGCAGCTAGGTCGGAAAGTATAAGCGTCGCTTGGGCGCAGAATAAGTGCCTCGTATTAGCGTCAGTTGGACGCAGAGTGAGTGCCAGTCCAGAGAGGTAAATAATGATAAGAATCACGCTTGATTGATATTTAGTAAAGTAGTAAAATTGGACGTTCGAATACAGCTTTAACAAATTTTAACTAATGAACTAATTTTAAAATTACTAATAATATAAACTCGTCGTTAGAACAAAGAACCATGCACTGAGTTTTACAATGTTTTTATAAGTACCTTAGCGTATATTATTCGCCGTTGATTTTAACGAACGCTTTGAATTATTACGTTTGATAGACTCTGTTTGGTAGACTGTGTTTGACACACAGTGTTTGATAGACTGTGTTTGATAGACTGTGTTCGATGGACTGTGTTCACGATTAACTGTGTTCGATTGACTCTTCGGCCACTGTATTTGGTAGACTGACTTCTGCGGACCTTGCCTGTGTTTTTATAGGGCGCAGCTAGTGGTCAGACAGGTGGGGGTTCCCGTGCGACTGAATCTTCGCGGCCTGTCCCGCTGCATTCCATTCCCATCTTGATTTGCAGGTGTGCCGACTGTTATCGCAGTCACGTCCGCTGCATGGGACCGAGTCTTTGGGGCCTGTCTCTCTGCATTCCATTCTTATCTGCATCCGCTGGCACGACGGTCCTTATCGCAGTCACGTATGCCTCGGCGAGACCGAGTCTACGTGCCTCTTCTCGCTGCATACCTTTCCTTGTCCGCTGGCGGGCCGGTCCTTATCGCAGTCACGTATGCCTCGGCGAGACCGAGTCTACGTGCCTCTTCTCGCTGCATACCTTTCCTTGTCCGCTGGCGGGCCGGTCCTTATCGCAGTCACGTACGGTCCATGTGCCAACTTCTGCTTCGCGTTTCCCACCAGAGTATTGCCATCGCCACA